TTCCAATCAATAAAATAATATAATCCCATTAAATCCTAACAGGTTATGGGCCCAGTATTATAATAAAAAAAAACTAAAAGTAGTAATTAATAAGAGGATTTATTGGATTACGTTCTGTGATTTAAAACGTGGTTAGAAATCTCCAAAGAAATGGCTGAACACAACGAAGAAACAGTGCTAATAGAGAAACTTACAGATAGTGCAAATTTCCAAATGTGGAAATTCCAAATTACAATAATGCTAAAATCGTCGAATTTGTATGAAATAGTGAACGGTATAAAAGTGATAACTGAAACCATGACCGAAAAAGAAAAGGCCGACTGGACTTTAAAGGATGCTAAAGCACAAAAAATAATCATAACGACAATAAATAAGATACCGCTGAGCCATTTGTTGAATTGTAGATCATCCAAGGAGATGTTTCAGAAATTAAGTGCAATATATGAGAGAGACACACAGCAACAAAAATGTATACTTCTGCAACAATTTTTCAATCACACATTTCAAAATACTGATATTGCAACACATATAAGTACATTGGAGAATCTTGCATATAAGTTAAATGCACTAAACCAACAAATAGATAACACAATGTTAATGACTAAAATACTTGCAACACTACCACATCAATACAAACACTTTGCAAGTGCATGGGAATCTACAGCAGAATCAGAAAGAACAATGACAAATCTAACATCAAGATTATTACTTGAAGAAAATAGACTCAACACTGACAGAAATAAGGAAGATTTAGTTGCGTTCCAAACGTCCGTGGTGAAGTGTTATAAGTGTAATGGACTAAATCATCTGGCCAGAGACTGTAAAGCATCAGGGCAAGACAGTCGTAAGACCAATTATAAAAATAAAACAGGAAATACACATAAGGGCAAAGGAAATAGTGACTGGAGATCACAGTCACGTTGTGGGATATGCAAGAAAACAAATCATGAAGAAAGAAACTGTTATTTCCGCAATCAAAAAAATAACACAACTAGAAAAGATGCTAACAAGGTATGTTTCCTGTCATTAGTAACTGAAACAATAAACAGCGTAAGGACTAATGAATGGGTAGTTGATTCAGGTGCATCAACGCACATGACTAAAAACAGAGAAATGCTTCAAGACATAGAAGAATCAAATACTGAAATAAAAACTGCCAAAAATGACAGTATGTTAAAAGGTACAGGTATAGGAACCATTAACTCAACAAGATGTACACTTACAAATGTATTAGCTGCTCCTGATCTTTCAAGGAATTTACTATCCGTGAATGCAATAACAGATAAGGGTGGAGAAGTAAAATTTACAAAAAGAAATGTCGAAATTGAAAAAGGTGGCAAAATAATATTAAAAGGAACTAAAACGCCAGATGGGCTGTACACTGTAGAATTAGAGATGCCTGTAATGAACGGATCATACTTGGCAAGGTCAGAAGACAACTTGCTATGGCATCGACGTCTTGGACACATTAGTTTTGCAAATCTTAGAAAACTAACAGATTTAAGCACCGGTATAAAGCTCACAGGAAATGTTGGAACAAGTTTCTGTGATATATGCGCAAGGGCTAAACAGACAAGGATGCCCTTCACTAAAGAAAGAACCAGAGCCACAAGAGTGTTGGAGATTGTACACACTGATGTATGTGGACCAATTGATCCACCTACATGGGATAACAAACGATATTTTGTCACCATTTTAGATGATTTTACACATTTTGCAGCAATATTTCCTATTAAAGGTAAATTTGAAGCTGCAGATACAATAATATACTATTTAAAACAATGTCAGAATAAATGGAATATAAAAACGTTTAAAATAAGATCTGACAACGGCAAGGAATTTGCCAATACTACTCTGATGACTTGGTGCAAGAAGAATGGAACAATAATGGATTTCACAACTCCATATTCTCCACAACAAAATGGAAAAGCTGAGAGGCTTAATCGTACAATCCTCGAAAGAACTCGAGCTTTACTGTTTGACTCAGGCTTAAATAAAGACATGTGGGGTGAAGCCGCTAGAACTGCTGTTTATTTAATTAACAGATCTCCCACAGAAGCAACAGACAAAACTCCTGCAGAAAAGTGGTATAATGAAGCACCTAATATGAAAAACATTAAAATATTTGGCTGCAAAACATATGCAAAAATAGTTACACATAACAGAAAATTAGAAGAAAGGAACAAAATGTATAATCTGGTTGGATATACACAAAATTCATATAGACTCTGGGATAATAAGAATAAGAAAATAGTAATAGCCAGGGATGTCATATTTGATGAAACAGATGATATCTCAGAAAAACCAAATAATAAGTGTACCATAAAATTAACAAATGAAGATGACGAGCAAGAGAGCCAGGAACGTCTTGAAGAAAGTGATGAAGAAGAAACTGGAAATCATGATTTAGATGCACATGAAGCATGGCAAACGGGCACATCCGGAGAAGAGGAAAATGTACAGAGCTCACCTAGAAGAGGATCTCGAATTCGTTCAGTTCCTCAGAGATACGGTGATTATTATGCTCATTTGACATACACTGAAGTGTTGAACAGTGTTGACTCAGAAAAATGGAAAAAGGCAATTGATGAAGAAAAGGAGTCATTATTAGTAAACGAAACATGGAAAGAAGTGAATGAAGATCAAGTTACTGGAAAGAAGATATTATCAACAAGATGGGTATTTAAAATTAAGGAGGACGGAACGTATAAAGCCAGATTGGTTGCCAGAGGGTGCGAACAGCGAAAGGGAATGGATTATGAAGAGACGTACGCGCCCGTAATTAATTTTAGTGTATTACGATTAATATTTTCACTCATTCCGCAGAAAAGTCTGCATATAGTCAAATTTGATGTCAAGACAGCATTTCTCTATGGGCATTTAAAGGAAGATTTATATATACACTTACCCGAAGGTTTCTCTGGTCACACAAAAACTTGTAAGTTACAGAAAGCATTGTACGGACTAAAACAAGCTCCACTTAGTTGGAATGACAGATTCACAAAATTTCTAGAAGATGTAGGACTGGTGTCGATACCGGCAGATCCATGCGTGTTTAAGGTAAAGGGTAGCAATTTCACAATTTTGGCTGTGTATGTTGATGATGGCATAATTATAAGTGAAGATAAAGATAGATTAAGTATTTTAATTAATAGATTAGCTAAAGAATTTAATATGAAGTTCTGCAATAATGTACATACATTCTTAGGGATAAATGTTGATATAAGGGGTGGATATCTTCAATTGGATCAAACAGATTATACAATTAATGTTTTAAAGAAGTTTAACATGCATGATTGCAATGCAGTATCCATACCGATGTGCGATAACAAAGAGAATGTAAATTCAATTGAGGATAAAGTGTTCCCTTATAGAGAATTGATAGGTAGTTTGCTCTATCTTTCATCAAAAACAAGGCCAGATATATGTTTTGCGGTAAATTATTTAAGTAGATTTATGAATAATCCTACATGTAGCAATGTAATAGCGGCTAAGCGTATATTAAGATATTTACAAGGTAGCAGCAACGCGAAGTTATCATATGGTATAAACATAGAAAATGAAAAAGGGGAATTAATAGGATACACCGATGCAGACTTCGCTGGGGATGTCACGACTAGAAAAAGTACGTCAGGCTATATTATATTCTGTTGGGATAGGTTGTTGTAGGAACTACACTTCTTGTGGGGTGACAAATCTTTCTTTATTTTTCCGATGTTCTCGGATAGAGCGCGCAAAACCAAGTGTGTTCTTCTTAGCTTGTCTCCATGTCGACCCCTCGGTTGCACTGGCAAAATTGTTAAACAACCCTGATTGGTTAACCCAAAGTTTATTTTTCCCAAATCACCGCCTATTTCTTACGCCCACGGCGTGCTTGTTTTCGAAACGGCGTGGTGATTGAGGGGGACGACGTTGCGCCCTCACTGCAAGATTTCCTTCGGACCACCCGCGCTGGGCCCACTTGGCGAAACTCCGATGGGTACGCGTCGAGTGTCCTCTGGAAATCCCTAATTTACGACGGTCTCTATTTGCTGTTGAGGGACTTAGGAAAAGAATTTACTAAACGCATTCGATACGCGAGTCTGGAAAATATCTTCCTCAAAAACAGCTTCGACGAACGAGAGTCGTAAATTACGTGGGCCGTTTGCACGAGAGAAACTTTCCCATGTGCGCACGACCGGTCGCTACATCACCCCCTTACCAGTGCAAACGTTACCTTACTATTGTACTTTTTATACTATTTACACTATTTAAACCTACTATATACAAAGTACAATCTAATTTGCTCTATATACAATATATACATGTTTTTTACCCAACTTGCAAGCGGTCGGGGAACCTTACTCGTCTACCCGAACGGGTGCGTAAGGGTTCCTGCGTGCAAGCTGGCGGAGTGCTAGGCGTTTCTACAACTGCAGGTGTTTGCGCGGCGCGTACCTGCTCATTGCCTGCACTTGAGTCTAACATGTAGGCGGGTTTGAGCCGGTCGATTGAGACTGACGCCTCTTTGCCTCTAACCCGCACTACAAAATATTTTTCGTTTCGGGATACGACTGGGAATGGCCCGTCGTACGGATTCTGCAACGGACCCCGTACCGCGTCTGTCCGAATGAAGACGTGCGATGTGGTCGCTAGATCTTTGAATATGAAAGTCTTTCTCATTCCGTGACGTGTACCATTCACCGGTCGTATCCCTCGGAAATGCTCGCGGAGCTGCAGCACTAACGTCGCTGGATCCGTTTCGCGGATCGGCTCGTCGCGAAACATTTCTGCCGGGAGGCGAATATTCTCGCCGTATACTAATTCCGCGGTAGATGACCTAAGGTCGTCTCTATACGCGGCGCGAATACCTAGTAGAACGGCAGGTAACGCATCTGTCCACCGTTCGTCGGCGCGACACTTTATCGCGGCCTTTAACTGTCGGTGGAACCGTTCCACTAAACCGTTCGCTGCGGGGTGGTAGGCGGTTGTCTTTAAATGCGTACTTCCGAGCAGTACATTTAATTGCCTGAATAGGTGGGACTCGAACTGCCGGCCTCGGTCAGTGGTGACCCGTGCCGGTGTCCCAAATCGCGCGACCCACCCCGAAACGAAGGTTCGCGCGACAGTCTCAGCCTCGATATTCTCGAGCGGGAAGGCTTCAGGCCATCGCGTAAACCTATCGACGCAGGTAAGGCAGTATTTATTGCCCCTGACACTGGTAGTGGCCCTACCAGGTCGAGGTGCACATGCTCAAACCTGCTCGACGGCGACGCGAAGGTTCCTACCTCGCTCGAGACGTGTCGGCTAACTTTTGCCCGTTGACACTCGAGACAATTGCGACACCACTTTCGGCAATCTCTCTCCATCGACGGCCAAACGAATCGATCCTTCAATAAACGCACTGTCGCCTTCGCACCTGGGTGCGACAGTCCGTGTACCAGGTCGAACACCTGGCGTCGGAAGATTTGAGTCACGAACGGACGCACGCTTCCGGTTGAAACGTCGCAGTAAACGGGTGCATCGCTTATATTTATGCGTATACGTTTCAATTGCAATGAGGTGTCAGACGCATCAAGAAAACTCCGAAGCTCAGTATCCCGCTCTTGCGCGTTCGCGAGTTCTGCGTAACTCAGCGGAGCGGTTACTGCCTCGATTCTTGAGAGTGCGTCTGCGACCTCATTGTCTTTGCCGCTCACGTGCTGTATGTCCGTCGTGAATTGTCCGATGAGATCGAGATATCGAAATTGTCTCGGCGTACACTTATCCGGTTTTTGCATGAACGCGAACACTATTGGCTTGTGGTCCGTGTAGATCGTAAATTCGCGACCCTCGATTGCGTGGCGAAAATGTTTTACCGCGGTATATGCGGCGAGTAATTCGCGATCGTACGCGCTATATTTTCGCTGCGCGGGCGACAAAGCTTTCGTGCAAAAGGCTAACGGTTGCCACGAACCGCTTTGTCGCTGCTGTAATGTCGCGCCTAATGCGAAATCCGACGCATCTACCATGATCGCGAGTCGCGAATTGTTCGACGGATGGGCCAATAATGTCGCGTTCACCAAGGCAGTCTTAAGACTTCCTAGTGCAGACTCCGCTTCGGTCGTCCATAGGACGGGGGCATTGCCCTTCAACCTGCGTCCGCGCAGCAGTTGATTAAGCGGGGCCTGCAATACGGCGGCGCCGGGTATAAATCTACGATAGAAGTTTATCATACCCAAGAACCCGCGCAATTGTTTAATTGTCGCTGGCTTTGGGTATTCTTCTATAACTTTAACTTTCTCGGCTAATGGCCTTGTACCCTCGGCGCTGACCGTATATCCTAGGAATTTTACCCGCGATTTCGCAAACACGCACTTGTTCGGGTTGACTATTATGCCGTACTCTTCGAGACGTGAGAAAAGCGCGCGCAGGTGATCTCGATGCTCCGTCTCACTATCCGACGCTACTAGAATATCGTCGAGATACGCGTAGCAGAAATCAAGTCCCCTAACGATGGTATCGATAAACCGTTGGAACGTCTGCGCGGCATTTCTCAATCCGAAGGGCATGACTAAATACTCGAATAACCCGAATGGCGTCGTTATCGCGGTTTTCGGGATGTCATCCGGATGGACCGGGATCTGATGGTATGCCCGAACCAGATCGATCGTCGAAAAGATTGTCTTTCCGGATAACATCCTCGAAAAATCTTCGATATGCGGAATCGGGTAACGGTCTGGGACTGTGCGGGCATTGAGTAATCTATAATCTCCACAGGGTCTCCATCCGTTATCCTTCTTAGCAACCATATGCAGGGCGGAAGCCCACTGGCTCTTAGAAGGACGGATGTGACCGAGATTCAATAGATCCTCAAATTCCGCTTTGGCTGTTTTAAACAGCTCCGGCGATAGCCGGCGCGGTTTGCAAAATACCGGAGGTCCTGGGGTCGTTTGTAAATGGTGAACTACGTCATGCTTTACCTGCCGTCCACCGTGGATCGTCGGGCGCAGGAGGGCTGGAAATTCCGCCAATAATCCCTCGTAGGGAGAGTCCCCGACGATGGCCTTGACCGACGGTACGTCGACGGCGGCGACCCTTCCCGTCGTGGTCAGCGTTGTCGTCCTGTCGAGGAGCTGCTTCCCTTTGAGGTCCACCAGGAGGCCGAAGTGCGCCAGGAAGTCGGCGCCGATGATCGGCTTGGAAACGTCGGCAACGACGAACCTCCAAACGAAGGCGCGTCGGAGTCCCAGGTCGAGACTCGCTGGCTTCAACCCGTACGTCGGGATAATCGACCCGTTGGCGGCGAAGAGCTCGTACTTGGTCTTGGGGAGCGGACCCTTGATGAATGAGCGCGGGTAAACGCACAGGTCCGACCCCGTATCGACCAAGTACTCTTCGTTTCGAGCCCGGTCGAGGACGAAAAGGCGGCAGGTACGTGGTCCATCACTGACTGCCGCGTTCAGTGCTGGGTGTTCGAGTTTCCCGACGTGTATGCACACGGCTGCCGGCACTTCGTCGACCTGTCCCCGAACGTCCGGTGGTACCAGCAGTGGTCCATCTGCTGGGGTGATCGGCTTCTCCGCCGCGATTTTGATCTCCGGCGGTTCCTGGAGGCACTGCGTGGAGCTCGCGATCGGCCGAACTCGTTCAACCGGAGTTCCATCGCCTCCAGCCGTCGCACCAACTTCTCCATGACGCTGTCTTGCGTCGTAGCTCCATGGGCTGCTGCTACGACGGCTATCTGGGGCTGGTTCGTCCCCTCGTGAATCTGGTCGGCTATTTCCGCCAGTTTCCCTAGCGGCAGGTCGGCCTGTGCGCTGACGATGGCCCTCGTCATCGGCGGTAATCGGCTGGCCCACAGCGTCCGCAGGAAATCCTCCGATACTGTTTTCCCTGCCAGCCCCTGCATGTGTCGCAGGAACTGGGACGGTGTCCGGTCCCCCATGTCTTCTTTTTCCAGCAGCTGTCGTATTCGCTGTGTCTGCGACGAAGACAGCCGTTGAATCAACTCCCTTTTCAGGGTCTCATACTTATCGGTCGCTGGCGGAAACTCTAGCACGTCCTTGACCTCCACCGCGTACTTGGGGTCAAGGTGGGACATAACATAATAAAATTTCGTAGAGTCCGTTGTGATGCCACTCAACACAAACTGGCCCTCCACCTGGCAAAACCAGATTTCGGGCTGCTCCGGCCAAAACGGCGGCACTTTTATGCCGACGCGCTCTATTTCGGGCGTCGCGACGCTGCCCTGACTCGCGGCACTACCCCGAACCGCGGCACTTGGTCCATTTCCGGCCGACTGCATTGTCTTTCGCAGGTAAAAAGTCAAATATAAAATACACCAAAAACTAGTAAAAAATAAAAAAACGATTATCACTTCCTACTCTAGATCACGTCGTAGGTCACCAATGTTGGGATAGGTTGTTGTAGGAACTACACTTCTTGTGGGGTGACAAATCTTTCTTTATTTTTCCGATGTTCTCGGATAGAGCGCGCAAAACCAAGTGTGTTCTTCTTAGCTTGTCTCCATGTCGACCCCTCGGTTGCACTGGCAAAATTGTTAAACAACCCTGATTGGTTAACCCCACGCGTTGGGCCTTTCCAATCAGGGCCGTTTATTTTTCCCAAATCACCGCCTATTTCTTACGCCCACGGCGTGCTTGTTTTCGAAACGGCGTGGTGATTGAGGGGGACGACGTTGCGCCCTCACTGCAAGATTTCCTTCGGACCACCCGCGCTGGGCCCACTTGGCGAAACTCCGATGGGTACGCGTCGAGTGTCCTCTGGAAATCCCTAATTTACGACGGTCTCTATTTGCTGTTGAGGGACTTAGGAAAAGAATTTACTAAACGCATTCGATACGCGAGTCTGGAAAATATCTTCCTCAAAAACAGCTTCGACGAACGAGAGTCGTAAATTACGTGGGCCGTTTGCACGAGAGAAACTTTCCCATGTGCGCACGACCGGTCGCTACAATTCTATAACGGAGGGCCGATTAGCTGGTCTTCAAGAAAACAATCTATGGTAACGCTATCTACAACGGAAGCGGAATTTATAGCTGCAACTGAATGTTGTAAAGAATTAATATATTTAAAACGTATATTAGAAGCCATAACAGAAAAGGAAATCAAAGCCAAACTGTTAATTGATAACCAAAGTACTATTAGTATAATTAAAAACGGGATTGTAAACAAGCGAAACAAACACATCGAAATTAAATTTCATTTCATACATGAATATTACAAACGTGGATTGATAGATGTGTCATATTGTCCGACTAATTCACAACTAGCAGACATACTAACAAAACCCCTACACGGGGCAAAATTCATTGAATTGAGAAACCAAATCATTAAAATTGTTTAGAATCTAGATATAAGTCATAAAATAAAATAACATCTATATTTACATTTATATACAGATTTACATATACATTGGTTGTTAACGCTAGTCGGTTAAGAGGGTGTGTTGAAATGTAACCGCCTAGTGCCGATTGTGAGCGAGAGTCGGCGGAGGGAGCCGAGCGCTCCTCGGTTGTTTTAGAGAGGTTAGGTTATGCGAGAAGTGTAAAAACGTGGTAAAAACGTGGACGGTCTGAGCAAGTCTCAAATAAAGTTATGTGTTTATAAAACCCGCTTATTTGCTTCCAATCAATAAAATAATATAATCCCATTAAATCCTAACAATTTAAATAACCTGTCTTTAACTAGGGTCGAAAATAGTGACTTTAGCTCTCTGAATAACACAAATTTAGTATAAGTATTTTACCGATCAAGTCTCTAAAATAGTATCAATTTCATTCCGAACACGTTTCTTTCAACTAGTTATTCCAATAATGTTCTAAAAAACACATTGAAAAGTATTGAAAATGAGTAGTTATGTGGCGCCGCCTCCCATGTTCGCCACCAGAGGAGTCGCGCTCTCACAAGCACTCATCCGACCCCTCAGTTGCTATACATACAGGGTGTCCCCTCTAAAGTGTGACAGTCGCGATACTATTGATGATACGAAAATTTTGTTTATATTATTAGTTTCAAAGATACGATGGTGAAGTTTCGTTTTTTAAATGGCACTATATATTTTTGTTTGGATCATGCGATAGCGTTTTTCAATACGAATTCATTAACCTGCAATTTATTCACCCGATTATTATTAGTTTTCAAGATATAACGCTTGAAAATTGAATGATTTTCGGCGGAGACGTCTCAGTTTGAGTGGCAAGTCATAAAAGCGGTCCTATTGTTGCACTGTTTGACTCCGCCTGTTGAAACCGATAGCAAGGGTCTAGCCCGGAACGGCAGACCAGAAAAGTAAGAAACATGGAAAGTATTATCCATCACGGTCCAAGTTTTCCGCATCGAGGATGGAGTCGTTAATAATTTGGATGGTTAATACTTTCCATGTTACTGACTCTTCGGGTCTGCGGTTCCGAGCGTAGACTCTTGCTATCGGTTTCAACAGGCGGAGTCAAACAGCGTAACAATAGGACCGCTTTTATGACTTGCCACTCAAGCCGAGACGTCTCCGCCGAAAATCAGTAAATTTCCAAGCGTTATATCTTGAAAACTAATAAAAATAGGGTAAATAAATTGCAGGTTAATGAATTCGTCTTGCAAAACACTATCGTATGATCCAAAAAAAAATATATACTTCCGTTTAAAAAACGAAACTTCACCATCGCATCTTTGAAATTAATAACATAAATAAAATTTTTGTTTACGCCAAAATAAAGATCCTATTTTATCCTGCAATTTTTATTTAAACAATTTTTTCGTATCATCAATAGTTATTGAAGTATTGCAACTGTCACACTTTAGCGGAGACACCCTGTATACATATACATTCCTCGAACGAGTTCCCAACATCACAGTCGTCTAAGGCAGGGCCTGCTAGAAAGTCTTACTGATAAGTCCACTAGCAGGACCGGACGAAACGCGCCTCCTTCTTTCCTTTTCACGCCTCCTACGAGATTCTCACGAGTTCCTAACCACAGCAAAGCAGCGCCACAGTTGTCATAACGACGTCTACTATTTTTACAATATTAATTACAACCGTATGCAACTAGTGCAAAAATATAAATTGTATGAAATGTTCATATAATTTCAATTATTATTTTAAATACTAAAATATAATATTTCTGGCCGCATTGCAACTGGTCTTCCAAATAATTTCATATAGTGAATAATATTGATATGCGGAGTACAGTGAAAACTCGATAAATGGCACTACTCCGGGTTCGGTCAGGAATACTTATGGAATAGAAGAATCGTTTCTCGGATTTGATTGTAATTTTGCCGACGCATAGTGGGGCCATTGCATGCCAAACGCGACAAAAAGTGGTTTTATGCAAATATACCCACAATGAAATAATGATTTACTAATAGTTAATGGGACACATGGGCCATGATTTAGTGTGATTTTTTTTATCATTTGTCGATTTTTGATACGACTACATGATTTTGAAACATTCAATCTTAAAATCATCCAAAATTATAATCATCGTTTATTGTTGCTTTGATTCTTCATGATGAGTAATTGAATTAAATGTACTTAGTACGTATTTAAATTACGAATGAAGAATCAGATGAAGAATCATTCATAGATTCATAAATTCTTTCGTTTTCTCTTCGTAAAGGTCGTGTCGTCTATTCGTCTAATTGCCATCTTCTCTTGAAACGGGACTTCAAAGTTGCAATTTTTGTTTTCAAAATTTTCTGGTACTTCACAGAATAATTATCCTGCCTCATTAAGGACGACTCTAAAAATTCTAGTTTATTTTCAAAATCATGATTTTGATGCTGTGTCATGATGTTATAAAACTGCATCATTAGAATACACATACTCCTGATGAACCTTCGGATTTAAAAAAAAATGTCACTCTATTAAAACGAAAATTTTGCTACGAAAACTGTATTAACAAACTATATAGAAGATGAAGAAAAATGGCGGAATTCAAATATACATATATATCTGTACCTACCTACTTCAATTGGAAATTCCATTATTTTAACACTAAATATTTCAATCACAACATACAAGTTAGGAACGTCAAACGACAAATGCTCCAAATTCGTGATTATTTTATGCTTGTATAGCATTCGAAGCAAAAACAATGAAATGTATGCATTAATTGAATGTTTAAGGTCGCATGCACCTTCTTAGGTTATGAGTGACCACGATTGCTTTGGAACTGTAAGGTACTTATGTAGGTTCATAATTATCTTCAAGGCTTACAGTTTGTGATAGATTCCGATATCTTTCAGGAAGGCTAGGATTTTCCTGCATGAGTCTGTCTTTTGTAGCATGCTTGTTACGCTTGATATATTATATCGCATCCTTTTGGCACAATATTTGGGGCATTGGACTAGGATGTGTTCGATGGAGATTTGTTCGTTGCATACTTCACACACCATTGGGTTCGATTTGGTGATTAGGAAGGAATGGGTTATTCTGGTGTGGCATATTCTTAATCTGGTTAGAATCACTTGATCTCTTCGGTTCATGTAAACTGCCGGGCTAATGTCATATACATTGTCGCGAATTTTGTGTAGTGCAGTAGGTCTTGAGGTTATCCAATCTTGGTTCCATCGTTCCTTTGCAGCTTTGGTGAGATATTTTTGGAGATCTTGACAGGGAACAGGTATAGAACATGTTTCAGATGTGGAGGTGCTCGCTTCTTTTGCCGCTGAATCTGCCGCTTCGTTTCCTTTAATACCTACATGTGATGGGATCCAGGAGAATAGGAAGTTTTTCCCAGAGCTGTTAAGAGCAACATTTTTTTCGATAATATTTTGTATTATTGTATTGTCGGTTTCCAGATTTTGTAAAGCGGATATAGTACTTAGGGAGTCGGTTAATATAATAAATTTATTGTATGCTGATTTCTCAACATACAGCAGGGCCTGGAGGATAGCATAAGCCTCGCTCGAGAAGATTGAGTAGGAATCCGGTAACTTGAAAAGGAGTTTGTCTTCTGGGGTGCATACTGCGCATCCTGTCCCTTCTTTGACTTCGACCCATCCGTAAATAGTTGTTTGTGGTTTGGGTAATCATTAGTTAGTTCAAGAAACAGGGATTGTATGATGTTTCGATCTGTATTTTTGGTGAGTTGTAAGAATTTGTCTATTAGACAAGGTGGTTGTATTGTCCATGGAGCAATCGCTAATTGTTTTCTGACGAGAACTGGGGAAATTTCAGTTTGCATGTCTTGCAAGTATTTTTTAAGTCGGAAGTTCAGTGGTTTCGGATGCGTAGGTTTTATGCGGAGGCTGAGTGATTGTTCATCTGACATTATTAGGCCATGTATAGGGTTTGATGGCGTGGAAAGTTTGGCAACCGCGTAGGTTAGACTTAATTGTTTTCTTCTGACTTCAAGTGGTTGTACATTGGCTTCGGCTAGTAATGCGACGACTGGGCTAGTCCTGAATGCGCCGGATGCAATTCTGACTCCCGCATTATGGATAGGTGACATTATTTTAAGAAGGTGCGGTTTTGCCGAGTCATAGACAATTGAGCCTTAGTCGATTTTAGAGAGAATTAGAGCTTTGTATGTTTTGATCAGAATATGGAATTCAGCTCCCCAGATTTTTGATGCTATGGTTTTTATGATATTTAATTTCCGGGTACATTCGGTTTTTAGGTTCTTAAGGAATTGAATCCATGTGTGTTTTTTATCGAAAACCAGTCCAAGAATTTTGGAGGTGTCTGTTGTTTTTAGTTGGTGTCGCCCGAGATACAATTGGAGTTGGTAATTTTTATCCTTCCTACTACTTGAGAAAATAGTTACCATAGTTTTGTTCTTGGAGAATTTAAAGCCAGTTAGTGATCCAAAGTTTTGGAGTCTGTCCAGATTGTCTTGCAAAATTTGTTGGCTAGTTTTGATATCTTTCCCGGTGATATAAATTGTACAGTCATCCGCAAATAAAACATGCTTGACTGGTTTGGTGAAAATATTTGTAATTTCATTTATTGCTACTAGAAATAATGTTACACTTATTACTGAGCCTTGTGGTACTCCGTTTTCGATTATGGTTTTATTCGAGAGGTGACCGTTTACTCGGACATAAATTGATCTGTTTCTGATAAAGTTGCTAATGAATTGAAGCATATTTCCCTTGACGTTTAGTTTCTGTAATTTTTGTAGAATCCGGTGTCTCCATACCATATCATATGCTTTTTCGATATCTAGGCAAACTGTGATTAGGTGCTGTTTTTTAAGGAAAGCCTCGCATATGTTTGAGTCCAACATGGCGAGACTGTCGATTGTTGATCGATACTGCCTAAAACCGTTTTGGTTTTCCGCCAGTAGGTTGTTCTTCTCTAAGTACCATCGCAGCCTTTTATTTAAAATTTTTTCTAATAGTTTCCATAGGCAGCACGTTAGAGCAATGGGTCTGTAGCTGTCAGCGTGGGATTTATTTTTGCCTGGTTTCAATATGGGAACAACTATTGCTTCATGTCAACTATCAGGGAACACGTTATTAAGCCATATGCAGTTAAAAAGTTGTAAGAGATATTCCACTCCTGACCTTGGCATTTGTTGTAAAAAGATATTTGGTATATTATCGGGTCCTGGACTGGAATTTTTTAGTGTTTTAATCGCCGATTGGAGTTCAACCAATACTATTTTGGTATTCAAATTGTTGTTATCTGCACTGGCGTCATGCCACAGAGATTTTTCAGCCTGAATTTTAGCGTTGAGGAAGTTTGGATCGAAATTTATATTGCTAGAGTTCATAGCAAATGTGGTTGCTAATATGTTGGCTATTTCTTTGGAATCAGTTGTGATGGAACCGGTTGGTGCATTAATGGAAGTGATTTCAGAGTAGGATTTTTGACCGTTTATTTTCTTTAACTTACTCCACATTTCTTCACTTGTTGTTCTGCTATTTAGCGAAGATATGTAATCCATCCACGAATTTCTTTTGGCTTGTTTCAGGGTTTTCCTTGCTATTGCTCTTCTAAATTTGAATTCACTAAGATTTGCGTCAGTCTTATGCTTCTTGTAAACGTTGAAGGCATGTTTTTTGTTTCTTATTACGTTATCACATTCTTGGTTCCACCAGGAAAGACTTTTGTTACATTTGTTATTGGAAGTTTTTGGTACGGAATGTGAGGCTGCGTTAATAATTAGCTTTTCGAATTCTTCCAGTAGCTCGTTGATTCGTTTGCAGTTGTCATTGTTAGGAAATTCCAATAATGGAGCGTTCTGTTCTATTGTTTTATGGTAGTTTGACCAATCCGCTTTTTCAAATTTCCATCTGGGAGTGATTATGAGGTTGTTTGTATTTCTTCCTATTAACTCGATAAATAGAGGAAAATGATCGCTGTTATACAAATCCTGAGAAGCTGTAAATTCTATGGTGTCATAGAGGGAAGGACTGCAGAAGGCCAGATCGATTGAGCTGTAGGAGCCGTTTGTTAGGTTAAAATGGGTTGGTTCGGTGGAGTTTAGTAGTACGAGGTCGGATTTGGTTATCACATTTTCTATAATTTTGCCTCTGGTATTTGTGTATGTTGACCCCCACAGCAGGTTGTGGCTATTCAGATCTCCTAACAGAATAAAAGGTTTAGGGAGTTGTTGCATAAGGGTGATTAGTTCCGCTTCCTGCAGTTGATAGTTGTTCGGGATGTACACATTGCAGATAGATATTTTCTTTCCAAGTAGCGTAACTGAGGCTGCAACTGCTTCCAGATTGGATTTGAGTAATATTTCGGAGTAGTATATGTTTTCTTTTATATATATTGCGACTCCACCGCTTGCAACTAAAGCCTCCGGTCTATTTTTAAATGTAACATTATAACCTTTGATACTGATGCAGTTATTTCCTTTAAAATTTGTTTCTTGTAAACATAGTATATTTGGATGGTGATCGTGGATTAGTTTTTGAAGGAATTCGAATCGTGTATTTAGACTGTTTACGTTCCACTGTAAAATTTTGTTTAACATGGGTTGCTCTCAGGAAGTGTAGATATTTAATTTGGAGGTGGGTTAAATGTGGGGGGTAAAGTCTGTGGCTCAATCATTGTCTCATCTTCGGATGAAGGAATTGGGGAATCTGTTGACATGTTGAATTGTGGAGGTTTCAGTAGTTTTCTAGTGATCCTAGTAAAACGGTTTTTAATACTCCTGTCTTTTAGGTGAGGGTATAGTTCATGCATAAAGGATGCTAGGGTGTTGGTATCCTCTACAAATTCTGTGGCTGTCTCCTTGGTACCAGTGTATCCTTGTGCTTTTTCTATGAAGTTTTTAAGCTGATTGTAGTTTAACAATTTACCTGGTTCATCCAGCATATGTTTTATGGGATCTAGCATAGCATCTAGATTTTTGATCGTGGGGTCTGAATTGATAGTTTTTTTCTTTGGCGGTTTACGAACTGGCTCCTTCATCATATCGTTGGTGGTGCTGCTAGAAGTGTCGGTCATTTCCTCACGGGTACGTTTTAATGACGAAGGAGTTTGGTCTGTTTCCATGTTTTGTACTATTTCCAAATTTTGTGTTATTTCTATGTTTTGCGGTATTTCCATGTTTTCCATTGTTCTGTTTTGCGTTTCCCTTGTTGGTTCATGGGAGACGTTTGCGTTGCTGATATGGGGAACTATCTTAGTCGTTTCTTTAGTAGTGGCGGAGGGGGTTCCTTTCGATGTGTCGTTGCACATTGGGCGGTCTTCGTTATTTTTACAATTTTTGGCGACATGTCCTTCTTGCTTACATATGAAGCATTTTACTGCTTCGGTAGAAGGGTACACCCAGTATGTTGATTGATCGTGTTCTATTTTCATAGATTCTGGTACCTTGTGTACGTCTTCTGGGCGTATGTACACCTGCCGACGGAAGCTAAGTATGTGTGCGTAGCCTTCTTCTGTTATGCCAGCTCTTAGGAAGGAAACGGCCGATTCTCTTTTGATTTCCAGCTCGTCGAAACATTCTTCTATTGTTGCATGTGGAATCGTTGGGTAAACATTTGAAACTATGATGCGTTGGTATTTGTTGATGAGCGGTCTCAGATAGAGATCTGTGTTGTCGATTTTAATATGATTGTATTTACCTGTGATGTTATCCGCGGTTTCTTTGGTAGCGAGGAATACACAAATTCTGCCATTAGAAATTCTAGATATAAATCGAATGTTGCTTGGGCTGGTTAGTTTTCCCAAGGCTTGGACGTAATCCCTTATCTGTATTCCCTCTTTGGCTTCAATTACGATTGCTTGTTCTTTCTTCGGGAAACTGTCACTTTGGAGGACGTTGGTGTAGCTTCGACGTTGCTGTACATTGGGGGTGTTCTTTGCAGAGAACATTTAGGTGAAAAGGTTGCACCGAGATGCTTATGAGAGAATGACCACAGGAGCTTGCACGCTCCCGTGTACGGATGATACTGATTTGCACTTAATGCACTGCTAAACGAACGAGAAACTTCACTTGAAATACTCGCGATGGCACTCGCATTCACGATACGCACGGAATTTATAACACGTCCAAACGCTTCGGCTGTCACAATGCGACCCCAAATGTATGCATTGTTTCCTAGTTTTTATGTATTTTTGAGAATCATAAGAATACTCGCAATCGCCGACGCTCGCACGTGCCGAAACAGTTGATCATCTTTATATTTTTCGCAGTAGCAGCTAGTAGCAACTAATTTTTTTTATAAAAAAAAGGTACGGCTTCACTCTACAAAAAGCAACTAAAATGAACACTGAATCACACTGCATTCATAATTAAAAAATAAAATGAAAACTGAACATGTTCAATTAGTTATAACTCAAAAAATGTTGGAGATATAAAAGTGTACTTTGGTGTAATTTAAATACGTACTAAGTACATTTAATTCAATTACTCATCATTTACTTTGAAGAATCAAAGCAACAATAAACGATGATTATAATTTTGGATGATTTTAAGATTGACCGTTTCAAAATCATGTAGTCGTATCAAAAATCGACAAATGATAAAAAAAATCACACTAAATCATGGCCCATGTGTCCCATTAACTATTAGTGAATCATTATTTCATTGTGGGTATATTTGTATAAAACCACTTTTTGCCGAGTTTGGCATGCAATGGCCCCACTGTGCGACGCCACGAACATAGAAAAAGTCAGTAGCTAAAGAAGAAAGAGGAACTGAGAACCAGATTTATCGTCCCAGTTTAAATACCCGTTACACATTACATTTCTGAAAATATTTCAGTTTGCACAAAATCTGAAATTGTCCAAAACGTGTTCAATCAATCGAGTGAAATGTCTCAGTGGAGTTAGGGAAAGATATTTAATAGCACCTCCAAAACATGTGCGTACTGATATCTTCCTCAATATTTAATTCAATATTATGCTAACAAATATTGACCGATTTATATCGTGTTTAGTCTCATTTCAAGTAGAAAATCTCCCCCACATGATAGTAAAAATTTGATGAAAAAAAAGTAAAAAATAATAAACTTTCTTCTTGTACAGTAGTGTGGTCACACTGAC